CTTCGTTTAATAGAGATATTATTGACACTATTGTTACAATTGGATTTTTTAGTTGTTCATTTGTTAAATCACTTAAATTTTCCATCTCAATAATTGATTGATACCATATTAGTGATTAATTGCACATGCACCTTTATTTTAATGTCATTTTTCACTCGAATGTGGGTGTATGGTTTTTTTTACATTTTTTGTAGAGCTTTTATTGATATCCGGGATAATGCGTCCACTACCACGTTGTCAGGACTCTTAATGTATTCGATGATGAAGTCAAATTTTTCCAAATCTATTTTTATGCGCATTAATTTTGAAGATGGGTTTTTTTAACTTGAATAGGTATATTAATGGTTTATGATCTGAGAACACGGTGAACTTTTGTCCGTAGAGATAATGTCTAAATGTTTTTAACGCGAAATGTATAGCTAAAAGCTCTTTTTCGATAATGGCATTGTTCTTTTCTCCGTTTTTAAATGTTCTAGATATGAAAGATATCGGTATGTCGTTGCCATTGTCGTCGATTTGACTGATGACTGCTCCGCAACCTAAATTGCTAGCGTCTACAGTAACTCTAAATTCTTTCGTAAAATCCGGATAAGCCAGAATTGGTGTTGCTACCAATGCACATTTTAATTTTTGAAATGCGCTTTCGCATGTTTCAGTCCAATTGAATTCAACGCGTTTTTTAAGAAGTTGAGTTAATGGCTATGTTATTAAAGAAAAATTTGCTATAAAGCGTCGGTAATAGTTGGCAAAGGCCACAAATAAAGACGTTTTCGAGATTGTTCAAGTGTTGGTTTTCTGTGAATCCCACGACTATTAAGTCGTCCATGTAGATGAATGCTTGTTCTGGTGGAAGTCCACTAAAGGCTATAGTCATCATTCTGCTGAATGACGATGGAGCTATATTTATTCCAAATGGAAGAACTTTCCATTGATAGAAACCGTTATCAGTTAAAAATGCTGTAACATGTCTCGACTCTTTCTCAATTGGTATCTGATGAAAACCGGAATGTAAATCCATAATTGAAAAATATTGTACTCTACCCAAGCCCTCGAAAATTTCTTCAATTCTTGGTAGTGGAAATTTGTCCGGTATGACATTTCTATTTAATTATCTGTAATCTATGCACATTCGGTACTTTGGCTTCCCGTCTGCACTTTTCTTTGGTATGATTATTATTGGAGAATTATACGGTGAAGTGCTTAATTCTATCAAGTCATTTTCTAATAACACGGCTACTTGCTTTCTTACTTCCTCCCTTTGAGAATGTGGCAATCTGTAGTCTTTCAATTTATTTATTCTAGTTGTATTTTTGTCTAAGTTGCTATTTTCTACTTTGTAAACCGTAAATCTATCTAAGGGGCTTACTTTTAATTTATTTGTGCTTATAATTTTAATATTGTCATCGAGATTGAGCTTATCACAACATCCCTTATCCAACACTCGGGTTGGTGTGCTATTGTCGTCGGTACTATTATGTCGTTATTTATTTCCTGCGCTTAGATTAGGCAAGGAAATTTTTCACTTTCAATGTGGATTATTTTAAATGTCTCTGATCGAGGTGGTATGGCTGATACTCCCGGCAACAATTCTGATTGTATTGTTACCTCGATTGGGTTTGTGTGATCTGGTCTTATTTTAAACGTTTTATCTCCATACTCTATTAAACATTTGAAGCGCTCAAGAAAGTCCTTACCAATTATGCCAAAGGCCGGTATCGGAAATTCTCTAGACACTATATGGAATTTATGTGTTAATTCGATGCCCTGTTCTTTTATTTTAAGGTCAAAAGAGCCCAATGAGAGAATGGGTTGTTTTGTTATTCCTGTCATTTGTATTATATCATTTTTGTCGTAGTATATTTCATTTGTTAAAGCGTTGATTCTAATAATTTACACCGATGCTTCAGTATCGATTAAAAAAATTGATTTTTGGTTTGATACGCTGATAAAACCAAAACCACAAAACAACCAAAAAATAGCCAAAACACGTGCAAGCTATCCCATTTTAGCATTCACAAGAGCACAAGCGATGAAACAAAGCAATGAAAATCGCAAAGAAATACAAACAATAAATTTAAACATCAACACTGATGATATAAAAGCGGTAGAAGACTGCCCATTTGAGAGAAACAAGACTCCGAAAATTCGACTAACAAATCTAAATATTATTGAAAGCGATCTGTTGAGTGTAGAATTCAAAATCTACCTCAGACATAAACCATTATGTTCATTAAAAATGAGCCAAGACAATGAAATATTAACCCTTGGTAAAATACTTTCACAAATCGAAAACTTGGCAATAGTGCACAACTTCCAACAATTGGAATCTAGGGGAAAATGACTACTTATAAGTTCGACGAAACCTATAGAATTGTACGAAAAACTTACCAAAACTTAGACGAACTTATGAAATCACACGCTACTTATGAGAATTTTTACGAACCTACGCTTTGTCCATATACATTAACACACTGCTGTAAGTTCGATATGCGTCAACATGCCGAAACAGTCGCACATGTAGTAGTCAAATGACACAACACTGGTCAACTTTTTTTTAATTACATCTCACGCTGCAAATAATTTGTATAAAAATGTAGAACGTATTTTAAAATAAAATACCAATCCAATTAGTAAATTGGATATCATCCTTAAAAGACCTGATTTTGATATTGAAGCATCGCTCTCAACACTCATACTTATTACTGATTATTCACTATCAAAACCGACTCTTTCAAAAGTGACGTCTAATTAGACGAATTTATATTTCTTGGTATTTTTTCACCGAAAACCTGCTCGACATATTTATACAAATTATTTTTTATCTGATTCAACATGACTAACATTTATTACCATTTACAACATTCTGCGATTTCCAATTGACGTTGAAAAACTTACTAGTAATCTATAGGAACTTACGTAAAACTTGGACGAACTTACAAAAATGTATATAGAACTCAAGAGAACTTACGCGAACTTGTGAAACTTACAGATACTTATGAACTTACAACGAGTCATTTTCCCCTAGATTGGAATGGCCCAAATACGATAAAATATTCGAAATATGTTCAATTACTGACTTCAAGTCAACGGCCAACAAAACGCTGAAAACCCTGCAGGTTATTCTTACAAAAGAAATTCAACGAATCACAGATCCAAAACAAAAATTAGAAATCATTGAAAAATACCATAATGACGAGTTATATGGTGGCCACTGCGGTCAGAAAAAACTTCATGCAAAAATCAAAGACAATTTCTACTGGAGAAACATGACGAGAGACATAGCTAAATACATAAAGAATTGCAAACTCTGCAAAATTTCAAATCCAAGCATAAAGACAAAAGAACGACTAGCATTAACAAAAACACCGACAAAACCATTCAAAATAATTCAAATAGATACCATCGGCCCAATACGTAAATCGAATTATGGAAACGTATACGCTGTGACTTTGATCGACGAAATGAGCAAATGGTTAACTATCATTCCAATAAAAACCAAAACAAGCCAAGAAATGGCCAACGCTTTTTTTACACAATACATTTTAATATTTGGCCCCATGAAAGAAATCAAAACAGACAGAGGGACTGAAAACGTTAACGAAGTGATAAGAGAACTGTGTAAGCTGTTGAAAATAAATCACAGCATATCGACAGCATACCATCACGAGACCGTCAGACAAATCGAACGAAACCATAGGACACTTAACGAATACTTACGAAAATACCTTGACGGACAACTTGATGACTGGGACATTTATGCTAAATATTACCAATTTCTATATAACATTTCCAAAAACAGTACACTAAATAACAAATATAGTCCATACAGATCATTTTTATAAAATCACCAAATATGCCCCATGAAATATTCGCGGGTAATGTTGAAAAATCATACAACGTGGATGATTACGTCAAAGAAACAAAAATTAAATTACAACTAATTCACAAAGAGACATCGGAATTAATAGAAAAACTAAAACTACGTAATAAAATTCAAAAAGACAGACAAAATCAAAATTGAAAGACAACCATACGACAAATTTCGACACATATATGACGGACCATATATTGTTAAGGAAGTAAAGGAACAGAATGTAATATTTCAACTAGACTCGGGAAAATTACAGGAAGTTCACAAGAACCGAATTATCAAATATTAACAAATTAAATTTTCAAATTATATCATAAATTAAATTCAAAATCAAATTAAATGAGACAAAAATAAAAACAAAAAAAAATTTTTTTTTAAAGAAAATACAAAAAAATCGTAAAATATGATTTTAAAACAAAAAGGTTCAGATTCACAATTTTTTCCTAAAAACGGAGAGATTAGCTCACAACTAAGTTAATTTTCAAAATTCATACCATGATTGATCAAAATAATAAAATAAAAATTAATATTAATAAATTGTTAAATTAACATAGTTTCAAAATTGTAAACCCAACCTTTTTTCTAAAAAGGAAGGTGTAGCGGTAGCCGCAAGGTAGCCGCAACGCAGCGTATATGTTTATTACATTTAAATTAAATCAGTCTTGACTCAACATACATACTACACACAAAAAACAGTAGTAGTAGAATTGTTTAAATGTATATTGCAAATTTACCAATAGTTGTTAAAATATCTATTGGTATTTTCATACAATCGTCACTACAACATCATAGTTGACACTTGTTTTGGCGCGATGGACCAAATGTCAACTGCGCTGCTGTAGTGACGAATGTATGAAAATACCAATAGATACTGTTTTATGTGTGTATATAGTCGTGTTTCACTCCTTATCTTATAATGGTATTTCAGTGTTAGGCAGTCTATGTATTTCGGATGGATATCCATCCGAGATATTTTAGAATATCTGGATATTTAACGCAACTGCACAGAGCCAGAGCTGTGTGCGTCACACATATAATCTACGGTATGTCGCTACACGTAAAATACAGACACAGTGTGACTGTGTACGTGTGGCACTTGATACACATATACGTCGCGACATACCGTAGATTCTATTTGCGATGCACACAGCTCTGGCGCTGTGCAGTTGCGTTGAATATCCAGATATTCCAAAATATCTCGGATGGATATCCATCCGAAATACATAGACTGGTGTTAGGTGCAGCTTCTTCGTGTAAACTCTGAATCTCGTGTAAACTCTGAAAAATCAGAAATGCTTTAGATTAAATCGAAGGGAAACAAATGTAAAAATTCGAGCAGTGAATTAAGAAAAAAACCGTCATTTTAAGCATAAAAAACAAAATCAGTCTGCTTTTCAAAGTTATAATATCGCTGTTGCTATCAATTGACTGTGGAGAAATTCAACTAATTGGGCAATTCAGAATACAAAAAGTTACACAGCGACAAACACACACATTTGATTCCAATAGAAACGCTGCGATAAAATGGGCAATACATCATTAAAATCATCACATTCGCTCTCCAAACTGTTTTAAGTTACGATATCATGAATGACACCAAACAAACAACTGCACATTTGAAATGCCACCACTTCTTCGAGTCCGTGGGAGATCCAATGGCCGATATGCATCGGTAAGTAAATTCAAACACATTAATTCACAAATTCTCCCATTCGATGATTTCTAAATCAAGTTTGTTTCTATTTTATTTCTTTACAGATAACATTTCCTTCATCGTATTCTACATACAAATGTGGAGCGACTCAGGAATGGATCGTTGACAGGTTGAATTCATAAGGCCAAAATCTTCGGAACCAAAAAGAAGAATACCAAATGACATTTTCCAATTTCAGTGGTGAAATGACAAATAGACGTGGAAAGCATTCGAATTCAGTTCAATTCATCGCATTTAAGTGCTAATTTGACACTAAGCCCATGATCAACAAAAAGCTTGACTTATCGGTGAGTAAAGATAATTTCATTTAATTGTTCAAAGCTCTACAAATATTTCGACAATAGCTCGACATTTTCGGATATTTTTGCAACAATTTCATTTTTATTTCTTTTTTTTTATCTCAACAGATCACATTGTCTTTCATCGTGTCTCATTGATAACGGCCCAGGCAAGGATCGACTGGCAGCATTGGATGAAATGAGTGTATGTTGGCTTCAGTACTCTGTATAACGACTAAAAATGAACTTTGAATCATCAAATAGGCCGATGTATGTAGTAAATGAACATCGCAAGAAAACGGAAACTTCAACACGTTTCGTATCAACGAATCTACAAATATCTAGCAACAGCTCCAAATTCACTTGGCTGAAAAGCCATTGATTCACAGCTTGAAAATAATTTAAGCTCTTTTTCAAACGAATCCCTTTACGTTCTCACATTTGTTTTTTTATTTTAGTTAATTTTCCGTAATGGAATCATAAAAATCAAATTCAATTCAGAAAGCAAGTCAAATTTAAGGATTAATTATCTTTTTACCAATTCAGACAGGTTTTTCTATTTAGATATTTTAATTAGCAAGAACTTAGAGTGAAATGTCAATTGTTTTTGAATTTTACTAAGCCTTGTGAATTGAATTTTATTTTCCCGGAGCCGAATGAATAAACTTCTTATCGGCGTGCTTTCGGCACATATTTTCTAAACTTCATAAACGCATAATAACCGTTAGATAACTTCTCGAACACTGTAATGTATCTTTTACGCAAACACCAATTTTATTCATTGATCTTACTTTATATTTTACAAAATCGACTTACATACTAATAAGCTAAAAGATTTTTGTTAATTTGGACTTTTCCTTGGGATACCTAAGACAGTATATCCTCAATAAAAGTTATTTCACAATTAATATATTTATAAGCGATATTTGTTTGTTATATTACATCTTATTACTTGTGTTTATTAATTACTTTTGTGCCGATCCAGGACGGATAAAATGTAAAAGAAAATGTTTCTCTATGTCGATTTCACTTGGTTTTTCTCCATTCCAATTGAAATCAATGATTCTTTAAATGAATAAAAGTTCGTAACATTGAATTAAATTAGCACAATTTATTAGCGAGAACACACGGCAAAAAGAGAATTATTGCAAATTGTTTATTATTAAATGATCGAATGCATTTCGGGCGACAATTGAGCGTCCATAGTCCTTAACACTAGTGCGAAAAAATAAATGTAAACAAAGCACCAACGAAATGTGTTGGTATGTTAAAAAGAGATAAAATTTAACGAGCAGAAAAACAACGAACGTTACAAAATAGGAAATATTTCTATTTGAATTATTTATTTTTAAAATTTGATTGTTTTTAAATTTAAATCGATAAATGATTCCATTTTTTAAGGGAGCAAATATTCAAATAAATAAAAGAAAATGAATCAATTAAACGAGTTTATTCATTTAAAACTTAATTATTTAGAAGGAGACCGAAGTTTATGAGAATGCATGAGAACATTTTTGACTCATATACACTTGGAAAAAGCAATGCATATACAACGAATCGTAAGTAACGTATTTTTAGGTTTTTTCATTATTAGTTCTATTAATTAAAATGAAAACAAATACCAAAACATTTCTCAAACGAAATTTCTCCCGAAAATGTGGTAATTTTTACAAAAAAAAATCCCAAATTTTCAAGAAAACGATTTTCTTTCGAAAAATTGAAAAGGTTCCGGATAGAAATGAAATCGGCATGGAAATCAGTTAGAAATCATATTATAACCATCAAAATGTTTCGTTCTTCGTTGCATATAAATTATTCTTATTATTAAATCATTTACCATCTTATTGAATTTTTTTCGCATTCGGAGTGATAATGAAGAAAGTGTTTCAAATAATAATGCATATGATCATGGCATATATTTCGTTGTTTTACAAGCATCTTGTTCCATAAATTTTATTCCAAAATTTTTCATAAGTGAGAGATATTGTGGAAATTTTTAAAATAAAAAAATTCAAAAACAAAACAGACTGCCCTAATTCTGTCCTGTGAACAAAGTACAACTCAATAGATATAGTAAATCTCAAAAATCTCGAAATAAATTCACATACATGACCTATGCCATTCCTCGAATATATCACACACACTTGTATGTGTGTTACAAGTGTTATTAGTATTTACACAAAAAGCCGGTAAACCTTACAAAGTCACAATCATGTGTATGTGTGTTTTTGACAGTGCATGTAACAGTGTTAACCATGGGCTGTCAAAGTGACACACATGCCATTACATAAACTAACTTTCTTATTCATTCATTCATTCATCATTGATAGAACATTAATTCTTTTTAAAAAAATGATCCGAAGCGTCTTAAAAGAATTTTTGCGACCAATTCAATTAATTTCCTCATCGCATTTGCGAAGTTCGTATACAAATCAAACGGTTGACGATTGGATATCATCACTGTCAGAAGATAAACAAGAGAGGGTTAGATTAATTCAGAATGAGGTAAGTACAAAACGAATAGAGTCGCTTTATTGTGGAAGGTATAAACAGAGATTGTGTCATTTTTAGATAGCATTGAAACTGGCCGAAGAGCAAAAGATGCCACAACTTCAGATGTTATCCAAAGCTGATTATGAAGAAATGTTGGACATGTCAAACAATCGACGACGACAATATTACAATTATTTACATTCATCAAAAACAGCCGATTCAAATGACAGTGTATGCTCTTTATCTATTGTTCTAATATTCAATGAATTTAATTTGCTCACACATTTACAGATAAAGCGTATGATACGAAAACAAATTAACGACACAAAACAACAATTGAGTACGCACAAAAAGCCCAAAACCAATCACATTGAATATGGTTTACACCAGAATACACAATTTTTGAGAATAACAGAACAAACAATGAACAAATGGAGAAATTTCAAGTAAGACCCATATTAATAGCATATTCCTGCTAAAATTATCCTAATTATTGTCATTATTTCCATAGAGTGTGGCGTGCAATGAGACTAAACGAACCAGCTCTAATATTGGACTGTGGTTTCAATGACACAATGTCGAAGCGTGAAATGCAGGATTTGGCACGTCAAATAAATCATTCGTTTGCTCACAATCGAATGGATCGCAAACCATTCGTACTCAATTTGTGTAACATGAGCCCGGATTCAAAGCTGTGGCCAATATTGTCACATAAATTGACCAATTTTGAGAAATTACCATGGAACATTTCGCCAAACGATATTACGGATGTGTTTCCAGTAGAAAAACTAGTTTATTTATCACCGGATGCACCAGACGCACTGGAATTTAATGCCGATGATTGCTATGTCTTGGGAGCTATTGTTGACAAAGGAAATCGACAACCATTGACACTGGCCAAGTCGAAGCGACTGGGAATTCGTGCAGCACGTTTGCCATTAGAAAAATATATCAAATTCAATTCACATAAAACATTGACGTTAGACCAAATGACACGAATTATGCTCGAGCTTAAGCGAACACAGGATTGGAAAAGAGCACTAAAATATGTACCAGCTCGACACATTTTAGGATAAATTTTAGTCCAACATTAAGAACTAGTATAACATTTCCGTGTGAAAAGTAATGAAATAAACACAAAAATCCAGTAAATATCAAAAGCGTTATGTGATTGATCTGTAATAAGCATTTGAATGATCAAACCCTGCCCCGTGATCGACGTGAGCTGTCATTGAACAATACATTATGTCAAAGTGTAACACGTGCATAGGCTAACCTTTTTATTCATTCAACATTGATAGAACATTAATTCATTGAAATAAAAAATGATCCGAAGCGTCTTTTGCGACCAATTCAATTAATTTCGTCATCTCATTTGCGAAGTTCGTATACAAATCAAACGGTTGGCGATGGGATATCATCACTGCCAGAAGATAAACAAAAGAGGGTGAGACTGATACAGAATGAGTTACCTCTTATATGAGTTACCTAATATATCTTCTTTATTGTGGAAGGTATATTCTTTACAAAAGAAGTATATTGTGTAATTTCTAGATTGCTCTAAGACTGACCGAAGAGAAAAGGATGCCACCAGAAATATTTATCAAATGTTTTGATTTACATTTTTATTGGTGGCATCTTTTTCTCTTGCCACCGATAGAAATGTTAACCAAAGCCGATTATGAAGAAATGTTGGAGATGTCAAACAATCGACGACAAAAGTATTATGTTTATTTGCATTCATCAACAATGGGCACTTCGAATGACGAGGTATGAATGAACTCATTATTCATATAACTCACTCACTATTTGATTTAATTTGAATTTTATCACATTCGTTTACATTCACAGATACGAAATACGATAGCAACGAGTATCTTTGATGAAAAGAAGGCCTAGGACATATCGAATATGATCAGTTTTCGGTGGACCAAATGTTCCCAGACCGAAAGCCGATCATATTCGACATGGCCTAGGACATATTACACAATTTTTGAAAATAAGAAGAGAAACAATGACCAAATGGAGAAATTTGAAGTATCACCCTTACCATTGACATATTGGAGCTAAAATAATCTTCTTATTTGGAAATTGAAAACCAAAAACGGACATCTTATGAGTCGATATTTTATTTGAAAAAAAAAAAAAAAAAAATTGCCAATGATTTGATTTATGCCTGATGCTCGTTTATGGTTTCCAATTTCCAAAAAATACATCCACGTTTGAAAGACATAAAAATAACCTCATTATTGTCATTATTTCCATAGATTGTGGCGTGCGATGAGACTAAATGAACCAGCTCTAATATTGGACTGTTGTTTCAATGACAGAATGACGGACCAGGAAATTTGAGACTTAGCGCGTCAAATTAAATATTCCTGCACTGAAAATCGGTTAGATCGTAAACCATTTGTACTGAATTTGTGAAACATGAACATAAATTCAAAGCTATGGTATGGATTGTCAAACAATATGCCCAAATTTGATAAATTACCGTGGAACATTTCGCCAAACGATATTACGGATGTGTTCCCAGTTGAAAAACTAGTTTATTTATCACCCGATGCACCAGATGCACTGGAACAATTTAATGCCGATGATTGCTATGTCTTGGGAGCTATTGTTGACAAAGGAAATCGACAACCATTGACACTGGCCAAGTCGAAGCGACTGGGAATTCGTGCAGCACGTTTGCCATTAGAAAAATATATTGAATTCAATTCACATAAAACATTGACACTGGACCAAATGACACGAATTATGCTTGAATGGAAACGAACCCAGGACTGGAGAAAGGCGCTACAATATGTACCGGCTCGAAAAGTTTCCGGTTAAATTGTACAAAAATCGACAATTAAAATTAATTCGAAGCAAAATTAGGGTAAAATTCTCATGTGAAAAAATATAATTTTATGAAGTATAAAAATGTTACAGACATTTGATAAATAAAATTACCGAATTAAATTTATTTTTGAAATGGAATAAAATTACGACAATTTTACAAATAAATTGTAAGAAATTGAGAAAGAAATCAAAGAAAATAAAATTTTCTCGAAAATTGTTAGAAAAAATCGAATTAGAACAGTCGTTTTTATCATCTGAATGATGGGACCCTACGCTGTGAATAACTGGGAGCTGTCATCGAAGAACACATTGCTTACAATACACGGTCACGGTCGTAATATTAAGTTTTATACAAAAACAGTGTGAAGTAAGAGTATGAGTGTCTCAATAATCTTCCATAGATGACATACGGCAAACTCAGTGTGTGTATGTAGCGGTATGTAGCATGAAAGCCGTAAATATGTGTATCTAAGTGCGACGCATTAATGTGTGTTTTTTATAATTTCATCTAGCCATATGATGACAACAATTTAATTTCTATTCATCCAAATTGATGTACCGAATTTGATTTTTTTTAATTTCTTTACTTTGCAGATTAGAAATGAAACACAACATTTGGGTACATTTAGTCCGCGGTAGTCCAACGAAATCATCCGATTTCAATGTCCTGTTTTATTTGTTTGAGCGACGTCTGGAACTGGAAAAGAATACCCAATACGAATTGAATGTGTAGAAAAAAGGCAAAATGGAAAATTCAAAAAAATGACACAGGTAAAATTTATTAAAAGAACATTTTTTCACAAGTATAATATTTGATATTTTTCCTTATAGCTGTCATCAATATAACACCGTTTCGACTCATGGTCACCATACCAGTTATTGAACCATTCGACAATGGCATCGACGAATGTAAGGCGCCACTATCAATCAAAACCATCGTCCCCACGCGAAATTCTTCGGTAAACAAAAATCCATTGACAAAATATACTTATTTGTACGAGAACAACGCGAGAGTCACTGACTTGATTCGCAACTGGGAAATTCGCCACTGACTTGATTACGAGGGTTGCTCCATAATTTTTTTTAAAAACATATATAACACAGTTGTTTTTTGTCGAAAATGGTTTTATTGTTTTTCAAAATATTCCCCGAGATGATCGATACACTTTTGCATTCGATGAAACCATTTGTCATAGCATTCGTGCAAAACTGATATCTCCAAAACTCCGAAACTGATATCTCCAAAACGTGTGTTTTGAACGCTTCAACTGCTTCTTCTGGTGTCGAAAATCGTTGACCACGTAGTTTTTTCTTCACGCTTGGGAACAAAAAAAAGTCATTGGGTGCCAGGTCAGGACTGTACGGTGGATGACCCATCAGTTCGATGTTTTGACCGGTCAAAAATCGAGTAGTTTGAAAAGATGTGTGAGAGCTCGCATTATCGTGATGAAGAATTATTTTGCGACGGTGGTTGTTTTTTCTTATTTCACCAAACACTTCGGGAAAACAAATGGTGGTATACCAATCAGAATTGACGGTCTTACGATCCTCTAGTGGAACGGTTGCCACATGACCACTTCTCCCGAAAAAACAGGCGACCATTCGCTTCGAAGTGCTTCTTGCTCGAACAACTTTCGTTGGGTTATCTTCATTTTGGAAGACCCATACAGTCGACTGCTGTTTCGTTTCGGGCTCATAGGCATATATCCACGATTCGTCACCAGTGACGATTTTATTAACGTCTTTTGAAGCACCACGATTGAATTTCTTGAGCATTTCTTTACACCAACTCACACGAGCCATTTTTTGTTCATCGGTCAATTTATGTGGGATCCAACGAGAGCAAATCTTTTTTACGGCTAAATGTTCATGCAAAATTGTATGTATGCTGTGGGATGAAATGCCCAAAGATGCCTCAATCTCACGGTAGGTCACATGACGATCTTCCATAATCAGTTTTCTGACAGCATCGATGTTTTGTGGCACAACAGCCGATTTTGGACGACCTGTATGAAACTCGTCTTTGAGCGAACTACGACCGCAACGGAATTCTCGGTACCAGTTATAAATTGTCTGAAGGGTTGGTGCTTCATTGCCAAAGGCCAAATGAAGTCGATCGAAACACTGTTGTTGAGATAATTTACTTCGAAAATCGTAGTAAATCATTTTACGAAAATCTTCACGTGTAAAATTCATTTTTTTGTTGAGTCGCAGTTTACCAGTCACTGTAAACAATACAAATAGCGTTCGTACGACAAAAGGTTCAGGGCACGAATACATACCAAAACATCAAACTTTACGAATATGACAATGGTTTACATCGGGCAACACTATAAGTACCATTTTAAAAAAAATTATGGAGCAACCTACGTACAAGCCTAGATGGGTGTAGGTTATTTAGTATTACATTGAAGGTGCTATGAGTGCATGAATCGATTTTGACTGTCTTTTTTCGTGACTTACCCTATTTTTCTTGCCCTTTCCCTAGATGGACCGTATAATCTCTGACAACAATGCAGTTTGATCAACAACAACAAGCGACGGTATCACAACTGAGCAAAATAATCATTTAGTCATCTATAATTGCAAAGGTTGTGGTCAATTGATGCAGGTCACCGGCACTTTTTCATTAAATATATCATTTTTATTACAGTCAATTTTCGAGAAACATTTTTGAAGCAATTGCTTCTAGAAAATTGACTGTAGCCAAAATTGATGATTTTACACCGTTATCAATGCTACGTCGAGCTGTACGACTCTTATAGGTGAACAATGAAGCTACAATTCATGAACACACAAAACATGTTTAAATGGATATTCAGTCACCGTGTTTAGCCTCAAATTCAATCATAATATATAAATTAAATATTCTGGACGCATTTAATTACAATCTGACCAATGATCCGTTTATGCCCCAAATGAAAACAAATAAATAGAATAGAATAACAGTAATTGTAGAATTCAACGATTTTCTCAATTACTTGATCATTTGGATACATTTGTTGTTATTAATTGTAAAATAAAAACACTGTCTTTCAAATATAAATTCAGAAACGAACAATTAATTTTTTTTGGTTGAATAAAATAATATAAAATCTACAAATGCGTTGGATTATTCCAATTAATTCAAAGCTAGATAGAGATAAATTGGCTAAAATAAAAAATGTGAATCGATTTCTTTAATACAATGCAATTTTATTCTTTCAAATGATTACATTTGGTGTAAAAATGAGCAGTCCTCATATAAAATGCACAAATCTCGAATATCTCGAACTATTTTCCGTGATCTTGACATTCGTCGTGCAATCACATAAAGTTCCTTCGCTTTCGTTTTCCTTTGTACCGTAAGTACTTTTTCGATTATGGTTGATCGTAATACATTGAGAGAACAATTTTCAACCGTGTGAATGCCGCGAACGCTTTGGTTTACACTCATACATATTGATTTAGAAACGAGCATTTGAATGTCTCACCCGAAGTAGAGAATCGTGTTCAATTCAGAATGATATTGAATGCAGCAGCGACCAGTTCGCATGCACAACTGGCTGCAGTTTTTTGTGTGAATCAACAAAGTCTAAAATTAAAAGTGTCGAATAGACAAAATTTCGTTAACACAGTGCTAGTTATTTTTCAGTTAAAAACGTGACTTTCAACTCAATATTCAAAAGCTCGTCGAAATAAATAAATAAATGAACCTTTTTAGGAGAATTGCTCTTAAATAGTTCAATATTATAAAAAAAAAGTCCGATATTTGTTGCTTTCAATTTTTGCTATTTTTCAAAAAAAAAAAAAACGAGAATCTGATTCAATTTAATTGTAATGAACAATCGTGAAAAAAGGTGAAAATAGACCGAATTCAATTCTTTTAACATCGATTCCTTCTTGGTGAGTATTCAAAATAAATATCTAAATTAATTGTTAATCCATGATTTCAATTATTATTTTTACAATTTGATTAGATAAAAAAAAAATTGTTCAGTAAAAATAGCTTTTTTTATTTTTTTCATTTAAAAAAGATCGAAAGCTTTTTATATGCAAAAATGTGTGCTGTATGTATTTCTACGGTTTCTCATTTTAGATTTTTCATATACTTTTTCGTATTGATTTTGCATTCTGGTGGTTTGGAATTTATTTCGAGATTTTCGAAAAAATAGTAACGAAAACGAAGTGTTAGAACATAATCGACGGAATTTTAGCAAATTTCGATTTTTTCGATGAATTAAAACAGTAGAATTAGTTGAATATGAACCAGTGTCGCGATTCTACGATACAATTCCACACGAAACAATGGACAAATAGACCTATTAATTTTTTTAAAAATATACATTTCGTTCATATTAAAATAATTCACCTATTTAAATTCATAGAAATGTCGGAATTGCAAAAGTTCCGTCAATTTTATGTTGTAAGACCTCATTTTCGATGCAATATTCTCGAAATAAATTCCGTAGCATTCTATAACGCAAAGTCCATATTGAATAGTGCACCATCATCAAATATTCATACACGAAAATGAAAAATAAAAAAACCAAACCGTAGAAGTACATGTAGCACACATTCCTTTTTATTTGTTGTTTATTTGTTGAGCTCAGCAATTTCACGCAACTATTTTCGCATGAAATGGTGATTGCAAAAATATAAATTGATTTGAATTACTTCAACACAAATTCACTCGGGTGTCATATTTGTTGAGATCAGCTATTTTTGCATATAATATTCCAATTTTGTCCAAGTGTTTCGCGTGAAATTACAGTGATAAAAAAACTTTGTTTTTATACAAAATTTTGTGAACTTTAGACTGATTTTCGTTCTTTCTTCGCCTTTCGTGAAATTAAGCCATAGTTATTTTTTTTTGTTAAATTTTTGCATTGGAACAATTCAAATAAATTGCAAATTGAATTTCCATATTATAAGTTTAAAATCAAGCGAAAATTTATCAATTCCAAATTCTGAAATAGTGACTAATATGTGTCCATCAATTAAATTCTGACTATTGAAAAAGTGAAATAATAGTGAAAAAGTGATTTTCTGTCATCAATTTAACCGTTAGTGTCTTTTTCAATTGTTTCGGCTCTTTTACTTGCGTATTTTGAATTGTTATAATAACTTTTAGTTTCGTTTGTAAATATTTTCAAATATATATAACAATTCTTTGTATTTGTTTGTATTTTTTCATCGACAAATGATCCTGCGAAAAAAGTGATTTAATTTTTATTTTCATTTGGGATGATTGGTTTGTCATAAAATAAAATTGATTTAAGTAATTTTTTTTCATTACAAAAATATAGACCAAAATCTGGGTAGTCAAGCAAATTGAGTTGAGCAAATGTCTGATAAGCATCAAGTGCATGCAAATCGCAGATAGAACGTGACAAGCGAATGGAACGTTGCAAAAAATACAAATAAAGGTAAGGATTCGCTTTTTCTTCAAATGTGCCACAATTTTTATTCAACGATTATAAATGGGTGTCATTTTTTAAATAATTTTCTTGTGTATTTTCAGTTCAGGATACTGTTGACAACGGAACGTAAATTTATGGATCACATGATATGGTACATTGGTTGACAGTTGCATCATCTCTCATCAAAAACCATATGTATCGGCATGTAGTTCCAGTAACAGTTTTTCGGGCATTTCTAGTGACTTCAGAGAAGGTTTGTGACTAAATTAATTATGAATTATTTCGAAAAATTACAAGCGACCCAGTTGATTCACTGATCCAAATACATCGAAACCATTCGCCGTCTTTTTTGTATTTTTCCTTTTCTTTATTTTCTATTTTGTTGGTTTCTTTAAATTGATATCTCGAACTTGAATTCAGATCATATGTGCAAAAAAGATGAAATAAATTGTAAAATTGAGTCCGAATCGTGAAAAAAGAATAATAGCTTCGAAGCAAGGATCGATTTTGATTTGAATTTGAAAAAATCTATACGATAAATCATTTTGATGTATTTTTTCTTATCTTTTTTTCACACAAAAATCCTTTTGATGCAATATTTTCTATAATCGCGAATAAATGTGCTGATATTTAATTAATTCTAATGATTTGAATTCACTTCGTAAACGAGTTGCTTAAAACGCATTTTCTACAGCTCGAATCAAAAATACTTTGCAATCGTAAAGTTCCTGAAATAAATTCAAAAAAACATTTTACTAATATATCAGCACAAATGGAGGCTTCTTTGCTTTTATTTGTATTTGCTTCAAGTACTGCAACGACTAGCATTGAATGATTACATTGACAATGCTCTGCTTGCGTATGCACATAAACATTGATTCGCATGGTCGCATCAATAAACGGCGCATTTTCACACATATTAGATGCACGACAACTACATTGAGCACATGAGATAAAATAGAATCAATGCAAATTGACCGAATCGGGTTCATTGCGATTAGAAACGGAGCGGCAATAAGTTTGCGAGCTCAAGTACTTCGAACTGTTCGGTCGATCCAAATTCAATTTATTTAATTTATTTCAATTTCTTCCATTCAATACTCTTTTCAAGGGAACAGTGTTTTTTTGTTGTTGCATTATCAATTGGCTCTGCTTTGCAATTGCTGATTAGTTGCAATTAAACAATTTTAAACATTCAAGTGACTTGTATACATTTTGCTCCATTTCTAATCCAAATCAGTGTACCCATTTTAAATGAATTTTGTACAAATAATTAATGGAAAAATACGCCTGTAATTATAGGCAAATTCATACGTGCGAATTTTCAGATACATTTTTTCTATATATTTTTCTAATTTGCACACATTGTCCTTTTCCAAAATAAATTAATTGTAGATAAATAGTACCATTGAAGTCTACCAGCAATTTAATTATCGTTTATATTAACGAATGACTGAACTTGTGAGTTATCTGAATGAGGCTGATGTTTTCAATTGTCAAATACACTAGATAATAATAAATACATTTGATATGCTTTTTTTATTTGTTCTAAATCTAATTTTGCTTATTTTTCTAAAAAAAAAATCTAATATTTGTTTCTATCATTTAAACATAGATAACGAGTTATAAAAAGGATGGGATACCAATGAAGATGCAAATATCATGGATATAAATGGACTTTGAGAGAATTGACGTCTGGTTTACTTTTTCGATGGAGCCATGCAGCCATGTTACTCGGTAAGTTTTTTTACTGATTTCATTGCATTCTTTGACATAGTAATTAATTATTCGTTAAATTTTTTGTATTTCCAACAAAATTCGTGGATTCATTTGTTTAAATTTACGTGTAGATTCATCATTTTTCAAATATGATCATCCCAATTCCAAATTAACGGCTTCATTTCAATTTTCTTAAGGTACACTTAAATGAGAAATTCCACTAAATTAATTGTCCTCCCTACAAACTGTGTGGGCACTTTAAGGAAAGCCGAATTTATTTTAACTTTTTGTAACACAGTATGACTCCGTTAATTCGAATATTGTGAACTGTCCATATTTCGCCCTACTCAAATCATATTCCGGCAAAAATAAATGCTTCAAGTAGAAAAAATATTTGGGTTTTGCATAATATCCATAGATTTTGAGATTTTGTGAGTTTATCGATTTGTCGAATATATTTTTTAGATCATTTTTCTAAATGAATTTGATCGGTAGCTACAGTTCAAGTAATTTTAAAATAGAACATATTTTAAATCTGAGGTATTTGAAAACCTCTGGATATTTGGAGTACGTACGAAAAATGTAGTTAGATTTTCAATTCGATCAAAACGATATAGTGAATCAAAAAATTGATATTCAAGAAACAGCAAATTTTTCCCAAATGAATATTGTTTAAAAATCTTCTTTAAATTTCCTGAGTATTTCACCGTCAATTCAAAAGAGCAGGGACTGCCGCGAGACATTTATAGTAAGATATTTATTTATAATACTTACCAGTAAACATATCAAAGTGTTAATAAAAGTTTTAAATTTCCTTAAAACAGATCGATGTAAAGTGGCGAAAAAATAAATTTGTGAAAATAGGGGGGCCGTTCGGGATATTAGGGGCAGGCGAGTACTCCACCATGTCAAAATTTGGTCGGATCAAAAAATAAAGTTCTACAAAGTTGTTCAGAGAAATTTTTTATGACCCCTGCCCTCCAAGTCCCAACAACTCAGAGCCCCATTAGGGTAAAATGATGAAAAGTCGATTTTTCACTTTTTGGATGCGGAATTTCGCACTCAAATTTATGGCCAACTATAACTAATTTTATCCGCACAATTCATTTAGGCCATTGCTCATTCCATCACCCCCAAGAGGGGTCCCCATATAAAATTCACGAAAATTTCGAAAAATACCCCGAAATTGGTTCCGTACCCCATCTAACCCCAAAATTAATTACATATTCGGATTCCTCGTATAAAATTATCTGTAGGCTCCATACATTGTCAATCTCTCTTGACCTACAAATTACTCCATCTAACTTAAAACTTCAATTCGGGTCGAAAGGTGAAAATACCCCATTTCACCCCTTATGACTCAACTGGGCATTTGGGTTTCTTCTAATGAAAGTTACGCATATCAATGAAGTTTCCATTGGCATATCGTTTTGGCCGCCCTGAATGACCGACTTAATATACATTTGTAAATTCGGAACGTTGCTTCATTGCGTCAGTATGAACTCAAAGTAAAAAGGAGAGAATTTATGCAACGTTTTGATTATACAAATGTTACACAGTACACAGAAAATATATCTACCAACTATTTTCGTCACAAAATTGATATCAGAGATTTTGTGTTTCAAATTTTGGTTTCGTCACTCGTTCTTGACCTCGATAAAGGTTTTTTATTTGATTGTACAATGTACATAAACAGAGACGAAGAGCGCAAAGGCTACTCTGTGTTTTCTGTGTATAAATAGAGTCTTACGTTCTTGCTGCTGTGTGCGCACAAAGAACAATATAAATATCTTGTTCGCTGTTTGTCTGTGTAAACTCTGTCTGGGTGTTAATTATGCTTTCATACTTACAAACAGCTTGATCATTTAAATGAACGCAACGGATTTTAATGTCAATAAAAAAAATTTTGCTTCAGAAATTTAAAAATATTCCAAAGGATTTCAAATCAATTGGTGTTGTGTTGTGTTGTGTTTGTTTTGTTCATGCATATCATATTTTTTCGATTTTGTGAGTGTAATACTCGCACTGGTGTAATACTCAAAAGAACCAACGAAAATATATCAATAAGATTTGAAAAAAGGGAACTTATCCGTCTGAAATTTAAACTTATTAACAATACTCGGCGATACTCGGTCTG